TTTAAAAGATTTATTATTTATTATGTATACAACATTCTGCCTCGATGTATGCCCGCACGCCAGAGGAGGGCGCCAGATCTCAGTACAGATGGTTGTGAGCCACCATGTGGTTGCTGGGAATTGAACTCAGGACCTCTGGAAGAGCAGCCAGTGCTCTTAACCTCTGAGCCATCTCTCCAGCCCCCTCCTTACATATTTGTAATAGAAAGAACTGAGTATGCCAAAATACAGTTTAAGAACAAACAATAGCTAACCAAATGAATACATAACCATAGGATAAACGATTAGAGCATTTTCAGGCATTGTTCGTGGTGCTGAGGATTCAACCCAACATGCTAGACAAGTAATGTCCCACTGACCTCACACACTTTTTTTTTTAAGTTGCTCACAATTCTTCTCCAGCTTTATTTATATATTTTGTTCCTACATCTAATATGTAGGATATACATCCTCAGGAAGTTGGAGGAGACAGATGAGTATAGTTTATTTTTGTTTTTAAAGATAAGATAGCACTGAGGACTTGATCCCTTGGGCTCATTGGCCAACCAGCCAAACCTGCTTGAGAAGCTCCAGGTCAAAGAGACCCTTTCTAAAAGAATTAGGTGTAGATGGTATCTGCAGAAAGACTGCCGGGTTGTCTTCTGGCCTCCAAATGAGTCTGTTCCTATATGCTAACACATATGTGTACCTGCACCCACACATACACAAGCAAAAATAAACCAGGATGGACAGCACGTGAGGGTGACCTGATCTCCACATGCACAGACATGTCTACTTACATTTATATTTCAACAGCTTAAAATTACTTATATATGCACAAATGGTAAAAGCTGTGTAGACAATAGAATTTTAAACAGTTTTTCTTTTCTATATGCTTTTATGTTCTTCAACTCTACAGTTCCAGCAGCAAAAATGTATTGTCTGGTTGGGCAAGGTGCACCCTTAGTTCCTGTACAAGAGAGGCAGACTGAAAGATCTTTGTGTGTTCAAGGATCTATATAACAAGTTCCAGAACAGCCAGGGGACTTTGTTTCCAAAAAAAAAAAAAAAAAAAAACCAGCAACAACAACAGTGCAGCTTCCTATAGACAAATCACGGGGTGTTCTTGACTAATTATTGAATAATAAAGCTAGGTGTCCTTTTTTCTTTTTAAATGGTGTGTGTATTCTGCTATATTGTTATTTAAAGTTATAACTATTTTTTAAAGGTTCTAACACCTTTATTTTCCTTTGTAGCTTGACTCATGGTATGTCATTTTAAATGGCACTGTAGAAATTAGTCATCCAGATGGGAGAGTAGAAAATCTCTTCATGGGGAACAGTTTTGGAATTGTTCCCACTCTAGATAAGCAGTACATGCATGGAGTTGTCAGGACCAAAGTCGATGATTGTCAGGTAAGCTGACCTCTGCTCAGTGTTTTCTTATTCTTTGCCTGAAAATGTCTAAGCTACTTTTCTTTTTCTTCCTGGAAATAGAACAGCTTTAGTTGGAAATTAGGATAGTCAGTAGTCTATAAGTTGACAATAGAAATTAGATTTTATATTTGTCTCAAATTTTGTTGAATTGAGCAAACTACAAAGTTTTAAGAGAATGTTCCAAATAAATGTTTGTTTGTTTGAGCATGCAGTCTTATTATCCAGTTCAGGCTCTTTTCTGTTTTCAAAGAAGGAAGGAAATAGGAACTTGTGAGTTGTTTGTTTCTGACTTATTCCTGCTTCATGTTTTCTTTGCATAATGTCTTAAGAGAAGTGGATTTCACTTCTCCTTTTACAGCAGAATTCAGACGATTCCACTTTGGTCTGGTGTGTGTGTGAATTGTTTGTCTTGGTTTTTGTTTAGGGTTAAACAAATTGAGTGAGAAAAGAACTGATGCCGTTTGATTTCTTACCTTTGTGCTCTGCCTTGGTGCATAGTGATGTGTTCATGTACTATAGGTTCATTAACTGTCCACATGTTGTTCTTGGACAGTTTGTCTGTATAGCCCAACAGGATTATTGGAGAATTTTAAACCATGTGGAAAAAAATACCCATAAAGTTGAGGAAGAGGGAGAAATTGTCATGGTACATGAGCACCGAGAACTAGACCGGAGTGGAACCAGGAAAGGACACATTGTAATCAAGGTGGGTATTTTTGCTTGCTTGCTTGCTTGCTTGCTTGCTTGGTTTTTC